GACCAAACAAAAAAAAAAAAAAACCGGTCACTTGAAGCTGAAACCACCGGAGGGCACGGCAACATCACCATTGGCACCAAACTGGAACCCCGCCTGCCCGGGCGTATCGCCAGGTGGCATGTCCTCGTCCTCCAGCCAGTAAGTCTCTAGAATCTTCACCGCCTTCTCGTATATTTCTTGGTTGTCGTGGCTCTGAAGGTTCTCTATTTTTTCCAAGCCTTCACAGTCATCGATCATCTGGGCGTAGTCGTTGGCATCCCCTGTCAGACCCATGTTCTTCTCGGCTTCCCCGACCTTCAAGATGTTCTCAAGTCCTTCCAGACACACGGTGACGATTCTTGGGTCAGGACAAACAAGGAGATCACACAATGGCTTGATGCATCCTTGGCTGACAAGGTACCTATTTGTTACATGTTTAGAATAACAATGATCAATCATACAATATTATAAGAGTAAATTCCCTAAGGTAGTGTTTGGCAACTAGTATTTCATTTCAATTCATGCATTTCAATTCCAAAATTTGAAATCTTGAATTTCAAATGACAAGGGGAGGGGCATGTATTTCAAATTAAGCTTTGTTATGAATGAGAAGAATTTGACTCAAATCCAAATTCAAAATTTTTAAGTTTCCCAAACATGGAATTTGAGTCAAATCCCAATTTGAAATCCAAATCCTTGTTCCCAAACATTCCATAAATGATTCCTAATTATAATTATATGTGGTTTTTCATATTTAGTTTCCAATTCTAAGACATGAGTATTACATAAATGGATCCCAATTTTAGAAAACTATTCCATAATCGATGCTTCAAAGACTATATGTGGAAAAAATGCTCTGACATACTCCCTCCGTCCCGCTATATTCGTCCACTTTTGACTTTTGGAACTGTTCATCTAAGCACTTTGACTCATCAAATTCTCTCAATGTATAAGCCTAAACATAGTCATGATCTTGTTTGATTTGTCTTAACATATAAATTATTAATATATAATTTCTATAATTTTTTAATATACAAATTACAAGATAAAATGGATTAAAGAAGTGCATTGAATAGTGTGTAAGAATGAAAGTGGACAAATACTCTGGGACGGAGGTAGTATTTGACCTAAAAATTGAGGACCATTTATGAAATAATTTTCAAAAATTAGGGACCATTTATGTAACATCTTAGAATAACATGGTACCCAATCTTGGAAAACTATTCC